AGGTCATTTATAATTGCAACAATTAGGATTATAGTGCAATACAAATAGAAAGCAGAGGTTTTTCTAGGAAGAGGGCCTAGCTTTCATATATACAAACCTGTAACAGGTTGGTCAAAAGTGTGTGCTTTGAAAAGCAGCTTGGAGGGGCGGCTGGGTGGCTCAGTTGGTTGAGCGTCCAACTTTGGCTCAGGTCATGATCTCACAGCTTGTGAGTTCGAGCCCCGCGTCAGGCTCTGTGCTGACAGCTCAGAGCCTGGAGCCTCGTTCGGATTCTGTGTCTCCCTCTCTCTCTGCCCCTAACCCACTTGCATTCTGTCTCTGTCTCTCTCAAAAATAAATAAACATTAAAAAAAGAAAAGCAGCTTGGTTCCTCAAGCAAGCAGAGGTCAATATGGTGCTGTACGATCAGTCATCTGATAGCCACTGATCCTGTATTATGGGCTAAGAACAGTGACTCACAATTACAAGATCAAGAGTGTCCTCTTAAAAGTTTTGTAGGACTCCCAAGGCCAAGTTTGACTAATTACTTTTGTGTAAATTGGTTGCCAGTTTAACAGACCTCCAACCATTTGTCCTTGGGGCATCTTGATTGGTTTGGAGACTTAGGAAGTCTGTGCCTCTATCTGTTCTTTCTGAAGCACTTCCCTATACATTCAGCAACACAAGACAATTCAAGCAAAAATACACGATACGAGGGCTTTGTATGAATTGCCAAGCAAGAAGGCAAAGCAAGCAGCAAAAGCATAAAGATATTAATAACAAAAATATTTACTAAATCGTATACCTCCAAGCCAAAAGTTCTAATAACTTTATACAAAAATTAGGTCTAATTATAAAATGAGTTCACTTCCAGAACTGAAGGTTGAATTGCCCTATACAAAGACTTTGAACTGATGACCTTATATGAAGACCTAGTGTGTCTTTATAACAAAAATCCTAGAATAACAAATTAATCAGCAACAAGAAGCTCAGTGAAACAAATCAGAACTCTAAGTAAGACCATTGTTGAGACACATTCACCTGGCAGTAAATTTGAAGGACAAATGGAATTTTGGAACAAGGGACAAGGAGAATGCACCTGTTAGTCTGATGGTATCAGAGACTTCTGCCAAGTGAGAGTATTCAAAATTGTCTCAGCGAGACTTCCAGAACTGTCAAAGGATGACACCATCACTCAAATCTGGTACAAAAGCCAAAGCTGAATTTATTGCTTTATTAAGTAAAAGAGGTATGCTGGTGAGGCTTAGTCTCACTGAGCAAAGTCAACTAATGATTATACATAGGGTTTAGGAGTGTGTTTTGGAGTTGCGTGGTTTCCAGAGGCAAGAACAGGTTGATGTCAGTTTTAGAATATTTGTCATTGTTGAATACAGAAGCATGTTTTGTGTTGGCTATAGAGGGGAGAAATGGATGCACATCAGCCTCAGTGAATTTTCTGGAGTGATTCTTCCATTAAGTATGAAGCTTTCACTGATTGGTTGGCTTTCAGTGGGCTGTTGAAGTGACTTGTTAGTTAGATGGGTTTAAAACAAGTTCTAAACCTTGTTTCATTGTTCTCTGAAAGTGAAACTGGAGCTGAAATGTGTTGATTACATGCTTAAAAACCAGTTCAGGTATTTACTGACTACATGGTTCTAGAACAGCTAGTCTTTTCCTGGGGATGGGGCTGGTAGGTATCTATAGCTAGCTTATATCACTTCATGCGAACTAATTAGTAAATATTCAGGAATGATATAAGCCGACTATTAAACTGCTAATAGCTTAAAATCAGCCATGTTGGGCATATTTACACCATATTTACACCACAGAAATGGCCAAATGCTACAAAATCAAGTCATTTGGAGAGTCAGTTTACCAGGACATCACTGGATGGGAGCATTAGGCATGGAACTTACGAATTTAATACTATAGACAGGTAATAGATTCCTGATTTGAGAAAATAAGACTTCATATTTGATCCTATTCTACACATGGTCCTCATTATATTGACTTAGGGAGATGGCCAGTGAAACAGACCAAAAAATGAAACTAAAATTTCCCAAGAAAAATGCAAAATATAGCCAAATCCACATACTTGACTTCATTGATCCTGGGTTATGAAGCTCTATTTTGTAAAAGTTGCTTCCTAGCTAATCTCTATTTTCAAAATACATGTTTAGGTAGAAATATTCTGAATACAAATTACTGTATTTCATTTTGAGAAAAATGGGCATCTGTTACAGACAGTTTAAAGATCATGGTTAGGGGTATTTTTATTTTTTTAAAAATTTTAATTTTTTAATTTTATTTTATTTTAGAGAGAGAGCAAGTGAACAGGAAAGAGGGGCAAAGGAAGAGAGAGAGAATCTCAAGCAGGCTCCAAGCCCAATGTGGGGCTCGATCCCATGACCCTGGGATCACTACCTGAGCTGAAATCAAGAGTTAGGTGCTTAATTGACTGAGCCACCCAGGCGACCCATTAAAATATTTTATTTTTAAGTAATGTCTATACCCTAAGTGGGCTCGAACTCAACTTTGAAATCGGGAGTCACATGCTCACTGACTGAGCCAGCCAGGGGCCCCAGAAGTATTTTTAAACTCTCCTCTCCACAAAAATGTCTCCTTCCCCACAAGAATCCCCAAAATGAAAAAAAGAAAGGAGAGTTTCCACTTTGTGAAACAAGACTATCCATAACTCAAACTGAGAAGTGTCCCTGGTTTCAGGACAGGAGATGTGAGCCAAGGATTTTATATCCAGCAAAATTGACTTTCAAATAGAAAAGCACAACTGTTAAAACGGGTCACAAACTTATCAATATGTAAGAATGCAAAGAATATTGTTCTCATGAGCCCTTAATGAGAAAGCTCCTGAAGAATGAACTTCAGATAAGCAAAGATGACATAATTTCACCAAAGGAGAGATAATCATAAACTATGTGCCTCCTGCCAAAGAAATAAAACCTGAGATCAAGGCTCTGTCTCCAGCTGCCAATTTGCAGAAATCCAGAAGAAAAAAGAGCATGTTGAACTGCCGGTGAATATGCAGGGTCCATGTTGTGGGAAACTCTACATGGTCATATAGAATTTATGGTTAAATTCCTAGGTTCTTTAACAGATAAAGTAAGGAGGAAGAACCCATCGGTTAAAAGAGAATTAAGAGACAGGTCAACAAATTTTAATAAGCAAGATTAAAAATTCAGTTAAAAACTCAGAAGATACAAACTTTTAGAAAGATCATTTAAAGATAGCTAATTTCATAAAAATTATTTTTTCTCAATTTCCTGCATTTTTACTAAAACTAAAATTTGAAGCATCTTTTTTTAAGTTTATTTGTTTATTTTGAGAGAGAGAGGGAGAGAGTGAGAATCGCAGGCAGGCTCTGCAGTGCCAGCACAGAGCCCCGGGTGGGGCTTGAACTCACGAACCCTGAGATCATGACCTGAGCTGAAATCAAGAGTTGGACGCTTAACTGACTGAGCCTACCCAGGTGCCCTGAAGAGTATCTCTTAATCTAACTTATAAAAGCATGATTTTATCAGACCTCAGATTATAAACTACAGTGCTTGTTTTATACTTACTGTTGAGGCAGTACAACAAGGTTTTGAAGTAACCCAAGTTTAACCTGTTCTATCTCTGTGTGCCTTTGGCCAAGTCACTTAATGTCAGGTGGAGGTGATTTTTATATATCTCTTGTGAAAAGAGTCACAAATTATAACCTATCTCTTAGCTGTTGCAGGAATGCATGAAATATGCGCATAATTCCTGATATTGTGGTTGCCATATGATAGGCACTTAAACGAAAGCTACAATTACTTTGGTTCCAAGTGGTCTGGGGTGGGGCCCAAGAATTTTGTGCTTTTAAAAGCCTCTCAAATGATGCTAATGATTGTTCTAATTTTGGAAACACAGTCTCTGATAAAATCTTCCTGGATGTGAACAAATATTCAGCTTCAAGGATTTTTTTCAATGCATTTCTTAGTAGAAAAACTGGAAGACATCTGGGAGACTGGCAAAATAAACTATGGCCTATCAATTTCCTAAAATATGTGGCCATTAAAATAAAAATCAGATCGCTAACACAGCACTGTTCCAAATGCCTAATACATATCTCATTTAGTAGTCCTGGGAGATGGATTCCATTATTACCCCCATTTCACAGATGAGGAAAAATGTACACGGCATTACAAATAAGTTGTGAAGCAGAGACATTTCTAAACTTTCAGTACTATTTTTTTATAATAAAAGATGGCCTTGTTAGAGGACAGACTGAATTAGCTTTTTAACAGAAATTATTTCATAATCATTGAAGATGAAGCAATCAAATCATTTGCAGCCAAAAACAGTAGGGAAAAATCTATTAACAAGGTACGTTAATTATTTTTCAGGATTTGTGTGTGTGTGCTTGTGTTTTTGTCAGCTTTTTTGTATTTGTAATTTGTTATTTTTCTGATTCTAAATAAATATTCACTATCAAGCCTAATTATGTATTCTTTTTTGTATTGAGCCCTCCTCCCCCCAACAGACTGAATAAGCTTTGGGCCTCTCAAAACCTGGATTCCCATCCATCTGCATACCCTGTATGTAAACTGAGAGCCCCTGAAAAAGAGAATGGGACAGAAGTAGTAGGGGAAAAATATTTAAAGAGATAAAACTTTCCTCAAATAACACTTGAGTCTTCATAAAGAGCTGTCCCCAAATTGCCAAGAAGAATGCGCCCCACCCCCCACAAGAGATGGGAGACAGAGGTGCCCTCAAACCGGCTGAATGGTTCTATGTCACTACAATCAGTTTGGAGGCAGCTTTCTGTTTACACTTAGTGGGAACAGGAAGGGTGATCTCATGGGGGAGAGATTGCTTGGAAACTTTCAAAGGTTTTATGTTTGCTGTTCTAATTCCATAGTGCGTTGTAGGACACTACTCATATGGTAGTAACAGTAGCACTTCAATGGTTTCCATAGGAAGCAGAGGAAGGCAATTTAAAGTCCTCTTATCAATCCTTTCTTCTTCTTCTTGTTTCTCAGAGTCTGATATTTCTTGTTCGGGATTGGAGTTTCCCATACGAATTTTCATACGGAGCCGAAGGCGGCTCCAAATTCTTGGAAAAACGCCTCAAGGTTTGTTAGAAATTTAGGTGAATGAAACTTCACCAGTAGTAATCTAGAATTATTTCTGTTGAATGAGTTGCAGAATGGACATTTAGTAGATACAGTCTTAGGCTTCTAGTGTCTCTACTAACTAAGATTGATATTTAATACAATGCTTTCAGAGTTACAGTTTTAAATATTATAAGTAATTATGATACAGATAAAGAATTCTTTTGTAGATATCTACAAAACAATGACTGATTCCTAAAGATAAATCTTTTAATTTGAATAATTAAATCAGTTCAAGGCTGACAGTACAAATATCTGTTTTCATTGAGGTTTAAAACAGTCTAACAGAAATATAATTTTGAAATCCCCAAAGTCAGTCTTAGAACATTAGCAAATAGTTCAGAGAACTATTAGCAAATAGTTCAGAGAAAGTGAAATTAGAGGGTTCTCTATTTTCTGTATCAGGATAGTGCAATATTGAATCAACTGTTTATATTGAACACAGATGACAACAAATACCTGCTGAGAAAAAGTCCTTTTTGGCTTATAACTGCTTTTAGGGTGGTCGTACTATTAACTGTCAAATACATTTGAAAAAACCGGGGCAATTTAGCTTATAAATACCCACCTATTCAGACGCCTTTCTAGAATTTTAATGTATACCTACTAAGTGACAAGAGGTTGTCTTGAGTATCTCCTGAAAAGAAGGTAGGAATATCTTATGATCCATTCATGTCTCCTGTGAGTACTTTGAATTAAAATTGGAATTTATAAGAACTAGCTAGAATAAAACCCCACTAATTTGTAGTAAAAAATGGGAAGGCCCACCTGAGTTAGCATAAGAGTAAGCATTTGTTAATTGTAATAATAATGGCATATATATGCTATATGGAGATATGGCTGTTCACCCAAGACTTTATTCTTTCTTTATCAGCTTATATATTGTCATTTTTATCATTGTGGGACCAGACAGACATAGCAAATATAAGATGCTACAGAATTCTTTGGAGTTCAATTTATGTTGCAAGTAGTTTAAACTTTAGAATGATTTACTGCAGGTCTCAGGGAACCAGCATGAAGAACTACAGAATGTTCGAAAACACATCCATTCCTGTTTCACCAAAATTTCCTGTTTTCTGCTACCTCATCCTGGCTTAAAAGTAGCTACCAATCCAAACTTTGATGGAAAACTGAAAGGTGTGTTTTTTAATGAATATATACTTACATTACTTAGTCTGGTTGTAAAATTGTCATTTTATCTACTGGGCTTACAGCTGCTGATTTAGGTTATCCACTTGTGTGAGGCTGATGACTAAAAAATGTCAGGAGAACTGGGAATCCTGGTCTGGTGCTGGAGCACCTTCTTGGGGAACTGTAGGATTCCATGGGTACTAAATACGTACATGGAGAAAACAGGCAAAGTCTTGCATTCACCTGGGAGGCAGCGACCTTGCCCTTTTTGCAGAGGTTTCTACTTACGTCTGTACATTGAGAAATGCTCCTTAATGTCTTCCTGTTTAATTTGCCTTATTTGCATTAGAGGAGAAAAATAGATGTCTATGTTATTGGAATGCTGTATTATAAGTTATAGAATATTATGATAAGTTATAGAATTAAAGATTGAAAGAAACATTGTGTAGTTCTGAACTCAAGCTCTTTAAAAGTGCTACTAAGGAATTTAATTATAAACTATTAAAACCCTCACTAAAAGTGAAATCCTCTTCTGGATGAGGACCAGTTGCTGAAAAATCCAGAAGCACTAGAGTGTTTTTGAAATAGTATATTCTAATAGTATGTAATTATCTGTCAAACAGAGAGGCATTCCTAACATTTTAAGATTCCAAAAAATCTCAACTTGTTTATAAAACAGGGGTGGGGTGGGTGGAAGGGGTCTGAAGAAATAGAATTTAATAGTCCCTAATAGATATCACCAGGTCTTTAGATATTTGCTTTGTAATTCATACAAAAACATTTCTGACTTATTTACTTGTAAGGCTCGCACTGAATACACACCCCACTGAGTTCAGATATTTGCTTAATTTCCTGTGGCCTTTCTGCATCATGTCAGGGTTGGTGCCACAGTGACATTAACAAGCTTTTCAGCACAACTGTTCTCAAAGGGCTTCAAAATTAATCTTAAAAAGGGACAACATAACATGTATTCACTTTTACAGAACTGGCAGGTTTGAAAAGCAAACCTATTTTTTTTTCCCCGTTTCCATGGCATTTGTAGTCAGATACCTTATATTTAACTATGACAGTATCATAAATAGAATCTCACATTTCATCAGCAGTATTTCTGTACATGTTTTAAATTATCTTTATATAACAGAACAGATAGCACCAGGCACATATTAATGGAGGGATTCCAGGATCCTATCATGTCACTTGTCCCTGTCACTTATGAATTCCAACCCAGTAATGAGCACACAGACCTCTTGATACTGTGCACTTACCTAATGCCGTCACTGTGTTTTGAATAAATTACATAAACGGTGGGCTCCCACAAGGCCCCTCTTTCTTCTCTGGAGTTGGGGAGTCGTAAACAGGCAGGGGAGGGGCAGGCCTTCAACAACAGTCCTTTATTGGGACACAAAAGTACTCTGGCTTGTTCCATTCGTGCAGTGTACAGCCACAGTTCTTAAATTAACTGATAGATTTTGCAATGAAAGAGCTCAGGGAGAGAGTTGAAGACAACACACACAGGTATAGAACCCCCATCCCCCTTTTTTTTAAGTTTATTTTCAGAGAGACAGAGACAGCGTGAGCAGGGGAGGGGCAAAGAGAGAGGCAGAAAGAGAATCCCCAGCAGGCTGTGCGCTGCCAGCACAGAGCCCGATATGGGACTTGAACTCGTGAACTGTGAAGTCATGACCTGAGCCAAAGTCAAGTCGGACACCTAACCGACCGAGCCACCCGGGCGCCCCACGAACCCCACTTTTTTAAGCAGATTTGTTTCTCATCAAATTGTACATATATGTCTAAGTATGTACTAACCTACACAATTGTTTTACAGGTACCCCAAAATTATGAGTTTACCAAAGTGGCTAGCCTGAGAGAAAAAAAAAAATGAAAAGCAGCTTCAGGTGCCCATCAAAATTGCATTTTGATGAGGCTTTCTAGGACGCCTGCTGAATCTGTCTGTGGGCCAGAATGTTCTTCTTAGCCTCAGTCTCTCCTTAGGTAGTTTTGAAAGTCAGCTATCTACATTGCTTTTCCATCCCATCCTGAATCTTGTAATTCGATGTGAGTTCTATCTGGGATGTCTTGTCCACTGGCTATGCTGCTCTCCAGAAGGCTCGCATCTGAATAACCACTTTCTTCCTCTACGGAAGAAACGTCTCTAAATAAACAGTTGTGCAAAAATTGTTCTCTGATGATAGTTCCCACATACTCTTTCATAAACTTACAGAAGTACTTTCTAGTTCATTATCAGCAGTAATAATTGTTATAATTACTATTCATGGTCCCTCACTACTGAAAATGTTATCTTACCATTTCCTCTGTTATGTGAAATTTATGATACTATGATTAAATTTAGCTGCTATTAATTTAGTGGCTTCCCACATAGGAAATCAAAAGGATCAGGTACATTCCTGCTGCATTCAGACAGTTCTTTCCAAGTGCCCACCGAATACCTCTCCTGACGTAGTCAGTCTAACCTTTCAATTAACAAGGAGTTACTTTTTTTGTTTTGTTTTTGTTTTTTTGAGGTTCCTCTGGGTTATGGTACCACATGTAGAATGGCCAGGCAGACCACATCATAAATTGTGGAGATGCATTCTTAGCAGCTTCAGTTAGAGTTCAGGAAGCGTAGCCAAACACTATTGCAAGGTAATGGTTTTTTAAGAAGCTGTTACTAATGAATTGTCAGTCAGGTAATCCTGAGATCTCTTTCTTGGTTGATTTACACAGCAGTGCCACACCAGTGCATCTGCCCCGCAGAGTTCTTTTACAGCATCTTATCATGTCCCCAGTTGTGGCAGATAACCACTTTGGCCTAGCCCCTGAATTCCTGGCAGAGTTTTACTCCAGTGGCAAAGATTATTGACGGAATGGTAAAGACAGAACAGCATCCCCAGTAACGGTCTCCCCATAGGTATTTGTTTGAATACTTGGAGTGGGTCAGAGCTAATTAGCACACCTCTGTAAATTGACCTGAACTGGGCTGCCGATATTCTGGGTCATGTGTGTACTGTGTTGAACTGATAGTGTTAGCAAGAGCTCACCACTGCATATGTTGTGAACCTTTGGTTTGTGTTATCTGAATCCAGAATTGGGATATCTGGTATTGGTCTCAGTGAGAACAAAGACTATGGCCAATGCCATCTTCAGAACGCATTTTTAATCCAAATATGTGGTTATATGCTGGCTGCTTTAATGGTAATTACCACACCTGCTGGTGCATGAGATACAGGTGTATCTTATTTCATTCCAATTTTATAAGGGAGTGGGTGGGGAGTGGAATTTAAGTACATGTGTTAGAAGTGATTTTAAAGTCATTTTAAAATGAGAAAGGTTGTTTCATACAGAAATTCGGGAAGAATTCATACATTCTAGATATATAGGAATATTTTACAAGTGCTAAAAAAAAAAAAAAAAAAAAAAAAAAAAAAAAAAAAAAAACAACAAAAAAACCAAGGTGATAAGCAGAGAAGAAAACCTACTGGTATCAGTGAATACAGATGCATGTGGTAACATAATACAGACACCAGTATTGTTAGTGAATATTGGTACCTGAAAAGCAAACCGCAATAATAACTGAATAAATACATTTGAATAAATCTATATATAATACAAAGCAAAATTATGAGTAAGAATTGGTACAATGCAAACAGCAAAATACATTTGAATAAACACCTATGCAAGTACTCATAAAAGATTGGGCACTACAATTTCAAAGGTATACAAAACCTGAAATAAAAGAAGTCTGAAGGATTTCCAACAGTATGCTCATGCATCTCGTAAAGGCAGCAAGCAAGAGAAGAAAAGCATGAATTCTTATGTAAACTAGTATTTCACTATATAGTGGGGTTGTAGTAACATGCAAGGAAAATGCAAACACAACCACATGGTTTGAATCTTTATTCTTAAGACCTCAGAAATCCCCAGTCCCAAAGCCTGAAAGCTCAGTGATTCTGCTTAAATTCAGATTTTTAAAAATTGTAGGCAGTTATTACATTTACTTAGATATCAAATCTCTGGACATATCTTGCTTTTTATGTAGGTGTATTTTTCTATATCTTTTGAAATGATTTAGAAATTATCACTATGTTCAAAAGACTTCTCTGAATATGTATTTTCTATGTTACTTTGCTAAATATGTAATGTTAAGCTTGAACCTAATGCCGTAACATGGATTATGTGTCATCAGTTGTCCTAAACATGATAGGTGAACAACTCAGACATCCTGATTTGCCTCCATGGCCTTTTCTTGCCATGTTATTTTGTATGGGCGAATTTCATCACCAAATGTCGCATCACCATCACTGCCTTTCTGAACTTGAGTACTAGTTAACAGACCTTATTCAGTTCTGTACATTTTTCATAAGGTGGGCACACTAAAAACAGAGCAATTTTTGCATACATTTTCTGGCAGGAATACATCTTATAAACCAGTGAGTATCTGGCCTTTTTCCCATTTATGAGTCTGTATACATAAAACCACCAACAAACTCATCAGAATACATGAAATGTGGTTATGTGAATGGGATGTAAAATATTTAATGTTTAACATCAAGAAAGCTACTTTATGGGTGGAAGATAAATATGTAGTTGAAATAAAGAACAGCAGTTTAGGCAAGGAGGGTCACTCATCCAAGAAAAGTGGGTTTTGGGAATTGCTTAGATGATGGCAAAGTGAGTGATGGCTTTATCACTGGGGAAGAAGTAGACAAAATCAAGAATGTTTTATTTATTGTATGCCTTGGAGGACTTGGATTGGATTTTTAAAATAATGATGAGTGTGCTTTTACTTGTAGAAATAGATGATGAATTCATCAAAAACTTGAAAATACTCATTCCTTGGCTACTTAGTCCTGAGAGCCTAGATATTAAAGAGATCAATGGGAACAAAATCACCTGCCGAGGTCTGGTGGAGTACTTCAAGGTATGACTCTCATTTCTAGAGCATTGTTTTGGAATGCAGTTCCTACTTGAAACAAACAAAAAAGTATAGACTCTGTAATATAGGTGCAAACCTAGGAGGAATCTATAAAAATGAGAAAAAATCATTAGACTCCCAAGAGTAGCTTGCTTTCTGAAATTAAAATTTTAAAACTCTTAGTGTTAACTTTATCTTGAGAGAAATATATTTTGAAATATAAATATGAGAGTTGGTAAAGTCTGTTTTTTGTGGGGGGAGGAGGTGTTTCTCGAGGTCCATAACATGTAGTCCTCAGTCATGACCTATGCTGAATTTTACCTTCATTCTGAAGATTCTTCCGAAGGGGCTATCCTTTACCTTTCTACTAGAGAAAATTCCTCCACATTTCCTGTCTCTGCACCACAGGCCGATGTAAAGTGGAATAACTTTAAATTTGTGTTTATTTTTTAGCTCAGGTAGCACCGAATACTACACTTTTTTTTCTTTTAACCAACCACATACTTATTGGGGAATTTCAGTAATCAATCTCATTTGTGGAGTGATGCTCCAAGGACTGAACTATTTTTAAAATTCACATTTTTGTCATTAAAAATACTTCACATATCTCCTGTGTGATTATTTACCTTCATCACTCTTAGCAATTAATGAGATGTTATTTATCTATCTAAAATTTGAATTCTTACTGTGCATAACACTATGGAAGAGCTTAGAAGTTAGTAGGAGGTTAAGGACCCTTACAGAAATCAGATATTCCATAAAGCTGACGACAGCAGCAGGTACAAATTTCTGTGAGTAAATGAAAAAGAAAGGTTACTCCTAGCAGAGGGATCTGAGAAGGTTTTAGAGAAGGGGGCAGTGACTTAAGTCTTTAAGAAGGGTAGGATTGGCCAAGTAGAGTTGGATGAAAGGGCCACTTCAGGAAAAGGGAACAGGGACTAAGAAAGGGGGAATTAACACATGAGAAAGATAATAGTTCCCCAAACTGTCAAGACTTTAGACCTTCGAGTACAATTTCACAGAGTTTGAGAAATAGTGAATGGAATTACTTGAACATGAGTCTCTCTTTTTCTTTTCATTTTTTTAGGCTTATATAAAGATCTATCAAGGTGAAGAATTACCACATCCCAAATCCATGTTACAGGTATTTATTCATCAAGAGGCGTGACATTTTTAAAAATACTTGTTACTAAAGCTAAGCTTTCCTTAGCTTTAGGCTATGCTAAGCTAAAGATAAGCTCCAATCCAGCCATCAGTAATTGCCAAATAAACATGGTGGAATGATTTATTGGAAGGTTATTTTTCTGTTAACTACTGTTTGTGTGTTCAGCTAAACAGTGTTGTGTACACATAGAGGAGCTTCACTTGTGCTGACTATACAAACACTTTTTTTTTTTTTAAGTTTATTTATTTTGAGAGAGACAGACTGCAAGTTGGGGTTGGGGTGGGCAGAGAGAGGGGGAGAGAGAGAATCCCAACAGGCTCCACACTGCCAGCACAGAGCCCAAAGGGGCTCAAAGTCATGAAACTGTGAGGTCATGACCTGAGCCGAAACCAAGAGTCAGATGCTTAACTGACTGAGCCACCCAGGCACCCCAACATACACTTTAGACCAAAGAGTTCTCATTCTCTTTGTACAAAATTAGTTTGGAAAATAGACTCATACTGTGGTTTAGATTCACACATGTTAACAAGTAGAAAAGCAGGTCCAGGTTTTTAAACAAGTGGTCTCTATAAATAAACATTTAAGTTAGGAGAAATTAGCTTTTTCTTTATTAAAAAAAAATTAAGTTGTTAATAGTTCCTTTTTGTCAGTGATCCATTGTTCTATCAGTATCAATCTTTAAACTTAAGACATATTTATATATATATTAGTACAGATAAAATGCACTGTATATTATTTCCCATGTGTTTGGGTTTATAAATTCCCCCCCCACATTTGATGAGAGGGTTAAAAATATTTTTTAAGAAGAAAATTCTTCCAAATGAAAATTCAGTTTTAGAACTGTGACTTACTGAGTAAATTTCTGTGTTTTATGTATTTTGAAATTTTAATTTTACCGGTTTTTAAAAATGTAGTGGAAATACTTCAGTACTTTCAAATTATCTCATGACCTTGTGTTCTTGTACATTTCTTGCACATGATACTCAGAAATGAGAATTGCCTGTGAGAGTTTAATATGAATTCCATTTTACATCCTATTTTGTACTTTGTCCAAAGGCCACAGCAGAAGCTAACAATTTAGCGGCCGTAGCAACTGCCAAGGATACATACAACAAAAAGATGGAAGAGGTAAGAATTAAATAATATTTTAAATTATGTTTTAAATAAAATCAGTATTTCTTCCATGAGATCATTCTTTTTTTTTCTTCCAAGTTATACTGTCTCCAAAGAAGTGGTTTTAACTTCTGCTTTCTCAGCCTATGTTTATCACATTTCTATTTATTATATTCCTAAAGTATTTTTTAGGAAAGGAACACTATGTAGGCATAGTGTTAAAACACTTTTTACAAAACATAGTGTTAAAACATATTTTAGATGTGTTCTCTCTATATTAGAGACACTTTTCTTATTCTTTTTTTTTTTTTTTGGCCATTTCTTCCCACTATTTATAAGTTCTAGTGACTAATATAATGTGCTACCATCTCCACTACACTTCCCTTCTTGCAACAATTCTAGTATTTCTATCTTAACTATAAAAACCTCTTAGGAAAAAAAAGAAATTAAGCCTCAAGGGCCAATATTTCTACATACTATATTTCCTCTTTTTAACATTCCGAATTTGGGTGCATTGAATAATTATTGTATATACCTACTAATTGGATAGGTTTTTTCCCTCTGAAAATGTTCTATGATAAAGATTACATCCAAAGTTGCTGGAGTCTTAAGAGTCAAGAGAAATACAGATGGAATAGTGTTCACACCATACCTAAACGGTACTTAGAGTATGTACTTAGTATGCTTTATGTAGTTAAATCTCAAAAAACCAAAGTGAAAGGTATGGGTAACTGAGATTTCCCTTGTAACTTTTGAAAAAACTGCAAATGTGGTCCAAGAACATTTAATATGCTTTCATTTGGTCTCTTGAAGAAAATACTGAAAGGGCTCCATTCAAACAAAATCAGTAAAACTGCCAAAGAACATGTTTTTCATAATTTTACTTTAGAGTTTTATAGCACTACTCATTGTTTTAAGCTAAACCTCATTGGTTAAAAATACTTCAGTGTAGTTAGAATAAATTTCCTAGAAGAACTTGTATATAAGTAGTTTATTTGAATTTGGATTCATTCTGTGAATGAACTCAGTTTGCAATTCACTTTGTATCATGCGTTTTCATCTTGAAGAACTTGGATTAAGTCTTGGATATTCTTTCCCAGGTGAAAAAGAGAATAAAAATTAAGAATGGCTTTATATAAGTCACCTATAAAGTACCGGTCCCACTTACAGTGATGCCTGATAATGGAGGGTGCAAATGTGGGTTGACAAAACATAAAAGTAGACTCCTTCCGTGTTCTAACAAATTCACCTAGCTAAGTGGACGATTTTGACACAGTTGTGAATTTTACTCTGCATTGCATAAATGGCACTTCTCTATCTGATACAGATTTGTGGTGGCGACAAACCATTTCTGGCACCTAATGACCTACAGACCAAACATTTGGAGCTTAAGGAAGAATCTGTGAAGCTATTCCGAGGGGTGAAGAAGATGGGTGGGGAGGAATTTAGCCGGCGTTACCTGCAACAGCTGGAGAGTGAAATAGATGAACTTTACATCCAGTATATCAAGCACAATGATAGCAAAAATATCTTCCATGCAGCTCGTACCCCAGCCACACTGTTTGTCGTCATCTTTATCACTTACGTGATTGCTGGTGTGACTGGATTCATTGGCTTGGACATCATAGCTAGCCTATGCAATATGATAATGGGACTGACTCTTATCACCCTGTGTACCTGGGCATACATCCGGTACTCTGGAGAATACCGAGAGTTGGGGGCTGTAATAGACCAGGTGGCTGCAGCCTTGTGGGACCAGGTAGGAATACATTTCATCCTTTTCAACTAATTTCGGCACATTTTTGAATGCCATCTGTTTACCAGACACAATGTAAGATGTTGGAAATAAACAGGTGAAAATGACTTGGGCCCCAGTCTTCGTGGGCTTTAAAATCGGTCAGGATGGCCAGATACAAACTGTAATACAATATGTGAAGTCCCACACAACTGTTTCCCAGTCAGCACTTCAGTATTTTCAAATATCTGTGGATTAGGCAGTGGTTTTTTACTTTTTGTCCTAAAAGTTAAAGATGTTAAGCACAGCTGAATTTTTTTGAGCCGATTGTTATTTATGTGTTAAGATTACTTCATACTTAAAACCCATCATTTGGCTAGAGTTGGCTTGGTTAGGGGTGTATGTGAACCACTATCCTAAGTTGTTGTATCACTGTCTCTTTTAGTATAATCTCCTGAAAGCAAGATCTGATTGCTTTAGATTGTCTCTATTTGAGCTAGACATTTGTACCGGGCCACAGGAGTCCAGGTCAAACTCTGGATCAGCTGCTGATCGGTTGGTTGTCCTTCATGTTTCAATTAACCATAACCTAGAGAGTCAGGGTCACTGTGGCCTATTGTTCAAATAACTGATTATGGGTAGGGAAGACAATAATAAACACACCTAGAATAATAATGAACTCACTCTGTCATCCTGGAAGGGTCTTCAGTACCTCATGAAAATTTAGGGGCATTTAGTGAAGCTAAAATAGAGATTCTTCATAGAATTCTGGAGTTAAGACTTTTGAACATTTATGTTCTGCAGGTAGTAATAGCTACAATTATTCCAGCATTTATACTTACATACACTCTTTAGAATTGTAACTAATGAATTTACCATGTGCCTTTGAAGAATCTAGCTAAAATAAACTAATGGTTGCACTGTGGGTAAAGAATGAATGGATCCTCTGACACGGTCTCAAATAGCTCCTCAACCTCAGAAGAGTGAAGAGGGGCTATTTGAGGTCAATTCCAAGGACCTCCTAGAATATGATGCTGAGCCCTATGAGGAATATAGAATTGGGTTCGTCAAAAAATTCAGATAAAATATATAATCTGAACTAAAAATATTTGCAGGAGTATTTGTTCTTAAATGCTCATAAATATTGTAAAGAGTTGAATTATCATAATGCTATTAATGAAGCAGGATATATACTTTTCTTTTTTCCCTTTTAAACTGCCTTTGCCACAGGGAAGTACAAATGAGGTAAGTTGAATTTTTTAAATTAAGAGCTATATATTTATAAAAATTACTATGTTCTTATTTTGTAAACTAGCCATTAATGGATATCTCAATATAGATTAGAAAATCTCTGGTGACAACTGCTGTGTTCTAAGATTCACAATTTTAACTATGAATTTTTAACATGGTTTTAAATAATCTATTCCAGACATCTTATGTGATTTGATCAGGAATATCATGTGTTTTGTTTCCTGAATGTGTAGAAAATTTTGAAAGAATTTTTTAAATGTTTATTAGAGAGAGAGCATGTGCACACACAGACGTATGAGGGAGTGAAGGAGGGGTAGAGAGAGGGAGAGAGAATCCTAAGCAGGCTCCATGCTGTCAGCACGGAGCCTGATACCACGGGGCTGGCTCTCATGAACTGTGAGATCATGACCTGAACTGAAATCAAGGATTGGGTGCTCAACCAACTGAACCGCCCAGGTGCCCCCCCAAATCTCCAAATTCTGCAGTTACAACATTGTGTTATTTTGTTGTCCTGGGAGTGCAACAAAATACAGTTACGAATCTTGAGGAAACTTAATTAGTAGAGAGTATTTAAATGGAACTACAACCTTTAGAAGTTGTTTTTAATTTTGGCTTTTGAGTGACCGTTACCTTTACCACTGTAAGCAGGTTCCGGGCCAGTGTGCAGTGTAACTTTCTTAGCATACCTCAGACAGGACCTGTAAGTTGTTCATATCTCCTGCACATGGGCAAAACTCTGTGTCTGAGGAAAGAATCTGAGCTTGCAGGAAGGAATCATTTGTTACATAAGAAAAACGATCTCTGTGGAGTTATTCTGGTCATTATCTTCAGGAAGCAAAACTGATCTTAACGAGAGATAGCACATAATTCTTTCCTCAGTTGCTGCTGTTACATGTAACTGAAGTATGTCCTCTAATTAATATCAATGACACATTTAATACAGGTCAATAAAGAATCATTTTATATAAAATTCAGTAAAACAAATTCATTAAAAAATAAAAGCAATCTAAGTTTTTAAGAGAACAGGGATTAAATTGAATGTTAGAATCTAATATGATAGATCTAGGGCAACACCATTTATGCATTTATACCCATATGCATTCATAAAACCGATGATGGTATTACTTAGACTTAAGAAAACAGCCATAGAAACTTCAAAAAGATAAAAAAAAATAATAATAATGGAATTTCCTGGGCATTGGTTACTATTTAGAGGATATCAAGCTTTTACCCAGCTTTTAAAAATATTCAGACTCTGGGCGCCTGGGTGGCGCAGTCGGTTAAGCGTCCGACTTCAGCCAGGTCACGATCTCGCGGTCCGTGAGTTCGAGCCCCGCGTCAGGCTCTGGGCTGATGGCTCAGAGTCTGGAGCCTGTTTCCGATTCTGTGTCTCCCTCTCTCTCTGCCCCTCCCCCGTTCATGCTCTGTCTCTCTCTGTCCCAAAAACAAATAAACGTTGAAAAAAACAAATTAAAAAAAAAAAAAAAATTCAGACTCAAGGGTTGCCTGGATGGCTCATTCAGTTAAGCGTCCAACTTCGGCCCAGGTCATGATCTCACCGGTTTGTGGGTTTGAGCCCCGTGTTGGGCTCTGTGCTGACAGCTCAGAGCCTGGAGCCTGCTTCAGATTCTGTCTCTCTATCTCTCTCCCCTCCTCACCCTCTCTCTCAAAAAGAAATGAATATTAAAAATACGTATTAAAAATATTCAGATTCTTTACAGACCAGAATTACATCAGTAAGTTGATTTTAACTGGGTGTTCAATATGTGAAAGTGCGAGGGGGGAATGAATCTTAGACATTTGCTGAGGGGGAAAAAGGACAAAAATATTTATGGACACTTATGTAAAGCAGTATGTAAAAATTCCTATGATTCAAACACTGTTGACACAAAGAACAATCACAGTTTTAATGAGCAAAGGCTTTCTGAGGTAATGCTTCTGAAAAACGTTTTGTAAGATATAAACCAAGTAAGGGAAACAAGGCAAAAGAGCATGTTTAACTGAAGGATCCCAGTGGCAAGGGGAGGGCAACATGTGCTTATTTACATGACCGTATCAGGAAATAATGGAAAATAAAAATGGCCCCATTGTGAAAAACCTGTAAGGAAGCCCAGAGAGCAAGTGACCTACCTGTGTATAATAAAGCATCTATTGGCAGTCAGAGGTTATGAGCTCCTCTAATTCCTCCAAAACCGATAATATGCACACTATGAGTTCCCAACACATTCCTCAACTGGAGCACAGTGTTTAGGAAGCTCTGCTCCAAAAGGTGTGCAAGGTAAAAGGAAATGCAGTCTGAGAATAAAACATTTACCACAAAGATCAATCCACAAAAGCAAAAACGCATACACAGTGGAGAGGTGAAGATACTTTGGAGTTCTAAGATTATTAGTTATGAATTTGTATCTTATATAGATTAAAGATCTAAAGATTCCACATTTAGCATGCTAAATTTTATATAGTACCATAAACTAATTACACTAAAAAGGAAAAATTTTATATCTCTGTGTTTATACTCTTCTTATATTTCTAGGCTTTATACAAGCTTTACAGTGCAGCAGCAACCCACAGACATCTGTATCATCAAGCTTTTCCTGCGCCAAAGTCAGAATCTACTGAACAATCAGAAAAGAAGAAAATTTAATCTAAATTTTTAGAAATACAGGTGCATGACCAACTGTCAGTTAAATACTCAGTTTTCTGTCTCCATGCAAACATTCAAAGTGCTTCTATCAGGACAGAGTAAAATACCGAGCTCCTCTGAAAACTTCGAAATGATTTAGTTCTTTTACTTCAGTGTTTAATAAGCAGATGTATGTATGCATGGTTATATCACTTTGTTAACATGTACAGTTTCCTGATTTTGTCTTCAAATATGCTGTTATAATTTCAAGTATTTGTCTATTTATGATGACAGTACATGTGTTCTGCTTGAATTTACTAAATTCTACTACTGGGTTATAATTAAACCATGAAGTAATATTACTCCATGTTTGGATATGCTCATTTAATTTCCACAGAAGAATTTAAAACTTATTTCCCATAGTCATCCATTTAATCATAGCATCATAACTCAGCAGGCTCATAACTCAGCAGGCTTGATTCAATCTATGTCATCTTCTATATACCATGAGCTTTTATTTTTAAAGACATTTCAGAGAGCTTTTCAGTTGCTTTATCAATGACTAAATACTGCTTCTTTTATATTATGATTTAACATAGAATATAAACTTCTGGATCAAAATGCACAAAAAAATCACTTTGTATATGTACTTGAGTTTCACTGCATTGTATATTTTTTCATTTGGTACACAAAGAAATGTATTCTTCATAGGTTTATTCTTTTAACATGTGAACTATTATTAAAGTTTACTCTGGTTCCTAAGATTAAAAACAAATGCTTACTGAATTTGGAAATGTTTGGGAGGTATTAATATAGAATGATAAAAGTTTAGCTCTCTTTTAAAAATTAAAATGCATTTTTCTTCAGTGTTGACACCATTGCAAACACACATTTCCACTTTAATCCACTAATCCCTTTTAAGGTAACTTTCAGTTCTTTTAAACCAGCAATTCTATAATCTGGGAGCTCTAAAACAGTAATTTCTAACTTTCTTAGAAATGGTTAAGTTTAATTAAATAATTAAATAAATAGTCAGACAAAGTAAGTAGTAACAGGAAAGAACAATGAAGATAGAAGACTGTGTGAGAGTTCATAAGATATTTGAAAAGTTTGATTACATGTTCTGAAAGATAACTTTCCCAACTGCTAACATCCCACTACATATTTTCCTTTTTCAATGTCCCTTTCATTATACCGCTTCCTTTGCCTTTGGGCCTTCTGAATGGAAAAATCAAGTATTTGCAGCACTATGTAAAAGACATGGATTCAAACACGACACATTTAATTTCCACAAAAATATATTTAATAAGCTTGTTATATAAAACCAAACATTTAACATTTTCAACATTTTATCAATTCAAACTCACTGGTAACTGGGAGCGCTCTATTTTGGAAGATTACCTAAACATATATTTACATATTTACAACACAGGTAAATATAACTGAAGAGCTACTTCAACTAATGTTGAAATTCACAGAATTCTAGAGATTTATAGGCTAAAAGTGCCATAGATTTATCTGTAGTCAAATGTACTGCACTAATTATGAACAATATCTTAGTAAGTATTAAAAGGAAAAAAACCTGGGAGGGAAATGGTGATCTTAAAGTTCTGTGACAAACTCTTAGAAGATATGTGAAATCAATTTAATGACCAAGATTTCTTGACGAGTCCCTGATTGTCATTTTTGGCAGCTCAACCCAGTCTGTTGAGATGGCAGTGTGCTATGTGCTGTCCGGAACCCTGCACTGTCTCATCAGAGCCATGCTCCTAAATGCTCCAAGGGCCCTGGTCAAAAGTAAGGAAATGATAGCAACTCTGAGTTTCCCATACAGGCTAAGGCCTTATGCCTAAATTTATTACTAAAAGATTACAGGCCTTTTACCCTTTCATACCAAAAAATACATTCTTACCATGTTTTAAAAGGGTTCTTTCTTTCCATTTTGGGAGGAGGTGAACCCTATGCATTATATATAGAAATATATCACAATTAAGGTCCCAAATCCTATTTTGCATTTTAAACTATGCAATAATATTTAAACCATCTGATTTCAGACAATATTCCACATTAAAGCAGTACACATCTGTTTTCAAATACTGCATAGGTTGTTTTTTAAAGAAATGTACTGCTGCTGTATGAGTTTACCAAGTGATCATTTCCTATTTACTCTCTGGTTATAATCACATTTCTTGCTGCATTTGTCTCCACTGAGAATATTCAAAGCAGTTTCTAATATATAGCGTTTTAGAAGTGTTTGCTGTGTTGGCTTTTAAATGATAAACATTTTTTTGCTCAATAAAATAATATTTTTAATAACAAAATACATGTAAAATTAGAATTTTATCATTTCCAAAAAAGTTGCCTTTATTAACCAAAGTACTTGTTTGCAGTTTTTTATCTGTGAAAATATTTTAAAGCCCTTACAAAAACCTAAATTTTATTTAAAAAAAATTTAACTTAAAAATTCTTGCCATGTTGTTGAGCATACCACTGCTGTCTCTGCTTGCGGTTTTCCAACTCTGTGAGCAGAGCCTGTCTGTAGGCTTCATACATTTTAACAATCTGTTCCAGTTCTTTCATGAAAAGCAACTTTAGCATTCCCTGGTATGTATCCAGGTCAGCCAGTTGGAAGAGTTCCCACTTGAGAATGTGGTCATATCTGTTTTAAAACATAATCATGCATATGTTCACAACACATACAGAAACAGGTATTGACAGCAACAAAATAATCTATTTTTATAAAGATCAACTTTATTATATCTAACAAACCATAAGCTTTAATTAAAAATAAGTGAGTTGTTAACTTATTTAAACAGACTATCTTTTTAGGGAGAGGAAAAAACTGCTGATACTACTTCGTTTCAATTTAAGTTAAAAAATACCCATTTCTTTAATCTTTATCAATTATTCTAATGGTAACATTAGACAACAATTAACACAGATTTCAGACCACTGTGGTTCTGTAATTTCAGAAAAACACACATGCTATTGCTGTTTGTAAGTTCATCTAAAGTTAATCATCAGGACTTAAGAATGCTGTAGACCACATTATGCCTGAAAATAATATACAAAACTGGGCAAAGTCACTGTGTCATTAGTGTTGATAGAGCTTTCTGAAGAATGCTATCACTACAGTAAACAAGGAACTAAAAGGAGAATGAAAAGGAACCATCATTTGTGGGCTTTTTTCCTGAGGTGAGTATACACTATTAAAACAGAAAAACTCAATCAGAAAGGGAAGAATAAGTTATTTTCAAAATGAGAGTAAGTATACTGTAGAAGTGTGTGGAGAAGGACTCCTGTAAGATTGTATTTACATATATCTTAGAAGGCTTTTTAGTCCTTCAATGGTAAGTTGGTCCCATACTGAGAGGGAAGTAGTAAGTAATAAAAAGGAGTAATTTACACTCTATATTGAAAGACCTGAAGCCATCACTCTACTCCCAATTTCCCCATTTTACAGATGAAAAAACTGAAACCTAAAGAGGGTATATCTCTCTTGCAAGATTGTTTAGTGACTAAAAAATCAGAAAGGTGGAGAGTAATAGTTTTTAATGTTAAGTTTAGACAAAGAACTTGAAGTTCTTCTCAAATCATATTGCACAACAGATACAATAGGAAGCTTTGATTGTAAATTCTAGTAAATTTATTATTAATAGTTACATTTCCTACCCAATGATTCTTTGGTAATTCACTTACCATCTTATTCCAAAAGTATCATCTAATATATTTTTAAAAAGGGAAACCGTAAACAAATAATGAGCAGTCAATATGAGCCACACTGACATATTTCTGTACAACTTGGGTACATGTACCATGAACCCCAGGAGCACAATATGCAGAACCACAAGGTAAATATATCTTGTGGGATCCTAAATTTACCCATTTAATTACTTGAGTGCTGCAAATCTAACAGGTATACTTGGTAGAAAGCTTTATATTCTCTTTAGTGGGAAACTCCAATATAAATAAGAGAGATACTATAAGAAATACTCAATGAGCCTCTATGAAATAACAGTTACAAGGTATTTCCTAGAACCTCTGCCATGCATGTAGCTTAAGATCTTATTTGTTTGAGACAAATTCATGATTCCTAGCAAAAAAAAAAAAAAAAAAAAAAAAAACAAACAAAAAAAACCGCTTCAGGTCAGAATTCCATAGCTAAAGGACATTGCAGCAATGTCTATTGATTCAAGATGCTTAAATTGATGACGACAGTTGGAACTATAATAACATTAAAGCTCATTTATCATCTGTGTACTTTCTAGCAAGGAAATAGAAGGGAGAGGATAAATTAGTAAGTATCATACTTGTTTTAAGATAGGACTATCACTCTAGAAGCATTCAAATTTTGAAAAAAGGAAAAAAAATAGCTTCACACAATTTTCTGACTTCCCAATCACCGCATTTAGCATCAAAAACAGGATTAAGGGTAGAAACAACAAAATCAGAATAATTACAGAAAATCCATTGGGAAGAAGAAAAAGCACTCCAGAAGAGCAGAGATGAGAAAAGTATGCAATTTGCCAATTCCCAATCCAAAGTCTTGCCCCCTTGCTATTTCTATGGCGTTACTTCCCTTCTCATATAAAACTTCCCAATATGCCTGTTTTGTTTTTTAGGAGAAGTAAATATTTTCCATTCTTTGCTTCTTAACTAGCCAAATTATCTGATTCCCCAGGCTTAATTTTTAGTCACTTATATAATATATAGGTAAATCATTCAGAAAATAGGCTGTAAACTACTTCAGTAGCCTATACTTAGTTTCTCTTTTTGCTGTTTTTCCTAGGGCAGTATTCTATTCAAGTAATTTCTTATAAATAACTCACACATGCAAATATCAATTGCTGTCGTCCTACCAAAAAATTGTGTTCATACTCCAGGGAATGCTGTCTTTAAGGAGCCAAAAGTCCTACTACTTCCAGCTCCAGGGACATGCAGCCTATGTCCCTTCATTGTGCCTGTCCTGCCTGTAACATTCTTCCTTTCTACCCACACCCAGAGCTGGGGCAAGACAACACTGCAGGACCGCCAAGCCGTAAGGAATAAAATACAGTCCATGCGAAGGTGATGCTCGGACTGGTGTTGAGGTACGTGTGTATGAGGAACAATGGAAAGTAAATATGCTCCTGATGGCTTTTTCCTGTTATATATTAAACCTTATAACTTATTCTAGAGTTCAGCTTGATTACAGCTATATGATGCATTACAGACTTCTGAGTAGCCTCAGAAATACAACTTCACTGGGGCGCGTCTGGATGGCTCAGTTGGTTAGGCATCCGACTTCAGCTCAGGTCACGATCTCAGTTTGTGAGTTTGAGCCCCATATCGGGCTCTGTGCTGACAGCTCGGAACATGGAGCCTGCTTAGGATTCTGTGTCTCTGTCTCTCTCTGCCTTCCCCCACTCACATTCTGTCTCTGTGTCTCTCAAAAATAAGTAAAAACATTAAAAAAAAAATACAACTTCACTAAAATTCATCAATAAAAATTTGGAACAATCTAAGTCAAATTCTGGAAGTATATGCAAAATTGTTTTGGTAAATTACTGCTAGAGACAGAATTTTTAAATTTCTGGAAATCAGATTGGCAACTGTTAACAAAAGGAGAAAAGATGGTAGTTTTTTGGCTAAAACCTCTCCTTTGATAAGTAAATGAGTCTCCATTATCTACTTCATAGAGAACAGCTCATCCTTTGTTGATAGAACAATATCAACTATTTCCATTCTTTTTAGAGACAAAAATTTTGGACCAACTAAAAAGTAACAGGTTCCTAACACTCTTAAGTTTTTAAGCCATAAAGAAGTACTTGCTCTCTTGTTTCAGTCTGGCCTATTCTGAGAGTTCTGACCTATTTGGGAAAAAAAAAAAACTAAGTTGTTAATTTCGTAAAGTTTTATAGCTAGCTCACAGAACCAGAGTTGAAAGGGCTATGATCTCTGGGAGTCTGTTTCTTTTCATAAGAAGCAAGGAATTTCACTTACGTACTATCTTTTTCTTCCAAAAGGAGAGCTTTTTTTGTTATTCCTAATGATGATTATAAAGTAGAACTAACATAAAGTAGGAAGAATAACCCTCCTCGATCTTATCAACTCCCAGAAATAACAAAATTTAACAGGCACATATTCTTCCAGACTTAAGGAACACATAAATATGCATATTCTGTAGGACATAATATTAGCATATGAACAAAGGCTGTACACAGTGATAGGTCAACTGATACCAAGAGTGAAAAAAGAGGGAAAAAGGGATGAAAAGTCCATCTGCTATTATTCCTTATTCCATTCCTATACTGTATAGATACAATCAGATAAAGAGGCTTCAATAGGTTAGCCCAGGCACCAAACCAAGCTAAACATCTATGGATAATTAGGTACCTAATTTCAAATAACCTAAAACCAAACTTTTGAAAAGTATTGTTTATATCCTGCAAAATAATATCTATAATTAAAACCTTTTAAAAAATTACGTTATCAAGGCTTAAATTTGACTTAGGGGGAAAAAAAAGACCCTCCAAGATTGTTTTGTCTCCATATCAGACCACAGATTAACACCCATGAATTTACAGACTGAGAAGAATGTTTATGTTGGCCAAAAATTAATAAATAGTTCATAATAAAAGGCCAATAACTTTATGAGAATGTTAATGTGGTCTAAATGAGCAGAATCATGATCAAATAATTATGAGATCCTTGAGGTAACCTAGCAATTATTCAAATGAAAAGCCTGAAAAGAAGATAATAAAAACAAACAGCTCTAAGCAAGAAAAATAACTTCTAAAATCTCTAGGCTAAAGGCATACACATATGCATGACTGAATGCAGATGCACACACGGTTGGTAAACACAGAGTAACATGGCAAAAATTTAGATCAGAGTTGGTTTAACCCCCTGCAAATTTTATTTCAATGATCATCCTTCAAAAGTATGGTTAAAAGTTACTATTTCAAAAAATATATATGAAAGGTTTTACATTCCTTTCACTTGAATCTCAAAGATTTAATTTTTTTTCCCCAAATTCACTGCCCAATCATCTTATACTCTCTAAAACTCTTCTTTGGGCTATTTTATACTGATAATTTTGGTTTCTGAAATACAAAAAAGAAATAAAGAATAAGACTACAAAAACAAGTAACTAAATGTTATCTTAACACAGTTGTTAGAAGTACATGCAATTATTACATGTGAAATGCCTAGACAAGTAACAAGAATTTATTAGCTGCTCAGTATGTAATAATTTATTAAATCAGAGCATTATTAATTACAAAAATTAAGAGCATGATCTTTGTAACTAGAGATAAAAGTCTGAAATCTGCCACTTAATAGTTGTATGACCTTAGCAGCGATAAAGCCTCCATTTTTTAATATTTTTTAACCTGTAAAATGGTTTTAGAAAGATTATATGAGATAACATACATAAAAACTAGCACCCTAAGATACATGGGAAGCACTGGATAATTAATAACTATTTATTTTCAAACACCCCCTTTTCTGAAATCATAGCACTTTGTATATACCAGTGTTACTAATCTTATCACATTGGGTTACTGACCTAGTACCTACTTCTATTTTCCCAGACGAGAAAGGCTCTTTAAGCCTGGCAAATTCACAGACATCTTTAAAAACTGGCCCACCTAGCATTTTCTTCTTCAGTGCAGCTTTACTAGCTCCAATCCATAGTAAGAAACCATACTAAGTGCTTACACAAGGCAGCCACCATGCCATGTGCTTTAAAATGTGTGATCATTTATGAATAAAAAAAAAAAAAAATGTGATCATTTATCCCCCACAGTTCAGTAGAAGAAAAAAACTTAATTCTAAGTTCAGGAACTTGTCCAAGGTCATTCAGTAAGTAGGTGATGGAGCCAGAAATCAGACTTAGTTTCCTTCCTGACCAATCTTGACCACTCTTCTATACCTCTGCCCCCAATCATCATCATCAGCAGCAGCATCATCATCATCATCATCTTTACTAAGCTCTCAATGTACAGGGTACTGTTCATAAAAAATACTTTAGATGCACTATTTTATTGAAATCTTAATAACCTTAAGAATAGGTACTATTACTATCCTCAATTTACAGAAGATAAAACTAAGTTAAGTACTCTGGCACAGGGTTACACAGCTAAAAAGTATCAGTAAACTCAAATAATCTCATATCAGAACTTACAGCCACTACATATATTATTTCCTCAACACCCTCGTATCCTGCTGTTTCTTCCTTGTACCCAGGACTTACCTGGGTCCTTACTTTTATCACAAGGTATGTATCACTTATATACAAGTTAATCTACCCGCTATGAGAATGTAAGCTCCTTAGTGTATCCCTAATATAGCCCAGGTCTGCGAACAAAGAAAGATTTAATAAATGTCTGCAGAACTTGTATTTGTAGCAAATGATCTTTAAACTTTATAACCTGTGATAGCTGTTCCTCAAGTAAAATATTAGTTAAAAGCCCAATATTATTAAGAGAAAAAAAAAAGGTGCTACCGCTCACCCCTCAATAAAACTCTGTGCTATAAATTCACTTACTTCACAGGAGCTCGAGCATATACCTGAAGCCAGTCAGGAATTTCTGCAGTATGGTACGGATTTGCAGGTACCAGCAGGGACTGATTTCTTTCAGTTTGCTGTGGTTGATATGTGACAGGAGGGGGCTGATCATACCGAGGTACACTAAGAAAAAAGAATCAACATTCATCAGGATAAAGGCTCTAAATCTAAACAAGAAATTATAAAGAATATTATTTGATGTTTTTCAATGTGCCTCTTGCCTAAACTGAACTCCTTCTACCATATAAAAAAACAGAGATGTGCCTTTTGTTTTTTACTATACCAGAAGAGGAGTAAAATCCACCTTCTCCAGGAAAATAACAGGTCATTAGTGATAGATCGAAATCTAAACTAAATCTTTACATATGTTTAAGAAATTTCTTCTGTCTAGTATTTAGTCTTTTCAAGGAATGTCAAAGGAGGCCATAAAAAATCTGGAGATAAATTATAACCTTCATAACAGAAACTTAAAATTAGAATTATAATTTTCAGTAATAACTAGTAACTAGCTATACATTTATATTGGAAAGGTTGGTAGTTTCTCTCAAAATGAGAATGGATATGTTCTTCCTCCTTCAGGCTGAAAAGAAGGTCTGGAATATGCAGTACTGTAAGAGTGAGGACTGGGCTTGAAATATCCACATTAACTGTAGTATTTCCTTTCTGCATTTATCAACTTACCAAAGTTAGAATTGATTAGAACTCATTTTAAATCACAGAGACTTAAAAAAAAAAAAAAAAAAAAAAAAAAAAAAAAAAAAAAAAAAGACCATGCTTTTAATTAGTTCTAATGGCCTAACGGGTTGGACAGAGAGAACAGCAAAGTGGGGAGAGAACTGTTATATGGGAAAATGGTAAGGAAAAATACTGAACCACCTGAAGGCTAAAGACAGAAATCTGAGAGGTCAAAATGATCTATTTCAGAATTGGAGACAAAACCAGAAGAGCCTGCCCCAAACATCAATATTTATGTGTATACCAGAAAAGGTCACTACAATACTAAACTAGGATTAAAATAAATGTTAGAGTGTGATTAACAATTTAAAGATCAATACCCACTGAGTTCTACTCCTGAAACCAATACTACACTGTATGTTAACTTGAATTAAAAAAAAAATAAAGATCAATATCCAAATGGTATTGTGTTTTATCCTTATCTGTTCTTTCTAAGTAGGTACAAAGTAAAATATCCCTTGATAGTGCAACTGGGAGGTGGAAAAGAACTGCGGCTCTGCAGTCAAATATGCCTGGAGGGTTTTAACCTCAGGTTGGGCACCTTACAAGTTATATGAATGTAGGCAGAACTGCTTCACTTTTCTAACTTTCAGCCTCCTTACTTGTAAATTTGGAATAAATTCATACCAAAGATGATTGTTCTCAACAGTAAATGAGCTAATGTAAGTCAAGAGTTTTGTATATAGATTAGCATAACAGAGATAAACAGCTATTAATATTATCTATGTGAGCTTAAGAAAGGTGTTTATTCTCTCCTGTTTAATGTCTACAGAGTTGCTAAGAGAAGCAAATTGTGAAAATACTTTGTAAATTAACAATTCCATAGTAAAAGTTACTGATGACAAACAGAAAATTCAGCTCAAGGTGGCTTGGTAGGTTAAGCATCCGACTCTTGATTTTGGTTCAGGTCATGATCTCAAAGTCGTGAGATGGAGCCTGCGTGAGCCTCAGCACAAAGCCTGCTTAGGATTCTCTGCCCCTCCCCCACTTGTGCTCTTGCACATGCATGTGCCCTTGTTCTCTCTCAAAATAAATAAACTTAAAAAAAAAAAAAAACAACAGCTCAATATACTCCCAAATCTGGTTGTCAGGACCACAAAGTCTTCTGCCACCAGGTGATAGCAATCTGTCATCACATTTGGTTTTTCGGTTTTATTTGTTTGTTTGTTTTCGCATTTCCCATCATTATTCATCAACAAACATCACTGTGCTCCCACTATGTGCCTGTCTCTGTGTTGGACGCTGGGACACAGCAGGAATAAGTGGAACTCATCCCTGCTCTTGGGTGGGAACTGTGATCAGGTAGAAGCGGGAGACTCAAAATTACCCCCATGACATAGGCCTGAAAATGGAGTCCAGGGAAGGCAGCAGCTTGCCTGAAATGGTATAGAGAGTAGGTGAAGGGACCAGAGCCCAAAATAGGCAGAGTGGCCAGTCTGCCTCTTTTGAAAGGATGACAATTTCATTTGTTCAATAAACAATGATTGAATGTCACTAAATGGAATCACTGGGGAAAAAAACTTTTCAAAGTTGAATTAATAAATCCAAATACGTAAAATGATTAAAATAACATAATAATGATAAAGCTTAGTTTTTTAGGTGATATTAAAATCTATTTTGACAACAATTTTAATGGTTCTAAAAAATGCCAAAGTTTATCATCACCAAAGATCTGCGTTATGCTAGATATTAAGGAACATCTATCAACATGCTGACGATATTCTACCCATTTTAAATCTTATGGTTCAGAGAGAGTTAACAGGAAATATTTTCAATTTCATTAGTAAACTAATACTAGCTTTTTATGTACTTTGAAATCCAGTGTGTATCTTACATTTACACACAATATACCTCAATTTAGATTAATTACATTTCAAATGCTCAAGAGTCACATGTGACAGCTGGCTACAGTAGTCACAGGACTAGAAATCTGACCATAAATGAGATCTACAGGATAAGCCCAAAGGATCACTGGCTACATTTGTTTATTTTTATTAGAAAAATTTTTTTAATGTCTATTTATTTTGAGAGAGAGAGGGCAAGTGGGGGAGGGGCAGAGAGAGAGGGAGAGAGAGAATCCCAAGCAGGCTCTGTGCTCTCAATGCAAAGCCTGACATGGGGCTTCAACCCACAAACTGTGAGATCATGAACTGAGCCGAAATCAAGAGTCAGATGCTCAACTGACTGAGCCACCCAGGTGCTCCTCACTGGCTAAATTTATTAAAAAGATCTGGGATGTTTTGTACAGTTCCAATTTTCACTTTCTTGCCTCACAACAGTAAGAAACAGAACATAAGTGTCAGAAACTGAGTAAAACAGTAAGATGTTATAATTCAGAAGAATATTTTGACACACTAGGAGGAAGGTCTGTATTATTTATAGAAACTGAAATGTAAATAGATAAATGTTTTATTTATTTATTTATTTATTTATTTATTTATATTTCTGGATATCTACAATCTAAACACTGGCATATTAAAGCAAAATCTGATCATAAGAATAATGATCGTGTTTTTGAGTTTGTCTAAAAAGTTTTTTTTATATATATAAAGCTTATTTTGAGAGACAGAGAATGAGTGAGTGCTTGGGGGAGGGGCAGAGAGAGAAGAAGAAGAAGAAGAAGAAGAAGAGAGAGAGAGAGAGAGAGAGAGAGAGAGAGAGAGAGAGAGAATTCCAAGCAGGCTCCACACAGTCAGTGCAGAGCCTGGTGCGTGGCTTGAACTCACTAACTGTGAGATCATGACCTGAGCCGAAATCAAGAGTCAGGCACTAGTTAACTGGCTGAGCCACCAGGCATCCCTTGTTTTTTGTCTTTAAAGATTTTATTTGAAAGTAATCTCTACTCCCAACATGGGGGTCAAACTCACAACCCCCATATCAAGAGTCGCACACTCTACTGAACCAGCCAGGTGCCCCTAAAAAAATTTTTTTTTAATTATTAAAACCGTTACTGAATCTAAGTCCTAAGAAAAATGTCATAAACTTTTAAAAATAAATCTTTCAAATATCAAACTTCAGGATGCCTTTCTCTTTAACGAAAATAGGAATTCAAAATCTAACATTAGATAACCTCAATAAAAAAACTTAAAAATAGAAGTGAAACTATACCTAGGAGCACAAGGATGCCTATATTGAGCCTTCTTATTTGTGTGATCCACGTAATAGGTTCCAAATTCTGATGACTCAACTCGCTCCCATCCTGGAGGAAGTCCTTCTCGCTCAAGAGGATGGCTCCAATGAGTTGTATTTGTGTTGTGATCTATATAATATTTTCTCCCTCTCATTGTCCAGTCCACAGACCAGCCAGGAGGAAGAGGTAAATCTTCAGAACCATGGTTAGTTAAATTTCCTAAAGATGTAGCAGCAACTCTCCCAATTCCTGAGGATAAAGAGAGAAAAAGAACAGAACAATTATTCAAAGCTAAAAAATATGCCATATGAGAAACAGTTACAAAATCAACTATCCTGCTTATACTCTGGCCAAAATCCATGATTTCATAATTATAAATAAAAATTTTCATGAAACTAGCCAGTATTACTAATGTTTAATTACAAAAAAGGGAGGAAACTAGATTTCCTCTTTGAAATTAGTTTTTTTTTGGTTGATGCCTCCATCACCAGGCTATATAAACATTTAGCTATTAGCAAAGCTACTTAAGTATGTATATTGCTAAAGGAAAAGTGAGGAAAATAAAATTTCACCCCATTCAAGATTTAAGATTTGACATCTCACCTAAAACAGCAAAAATAAATTTGTAAAACTGTTTCTGGTTTATGATTATTTAAATATAATCTAGCTGTGCCCTAGAACCATTAAGTAAATTTATCAAGGGAGCATCATATGAAGTCAACACACAAAAATCAATTAAATATCTGTATACTAGCAACAACTGGAAACAGATTATACCACTTACCATAGCTCCAAAAAATCAAATATTTACATATTAATAAAACAAAATATAGACAACAAATTACATGAAGAATCTGTATGCTGAAAACTACAAAACACTGATGAGAGAACTGAAAGATGACCTATCATATTAATGGACTGGAAGACTCAACATAAAGATGCCAATTCTTCCTGAAATGACCTTTAAGATAATTCCACTCATAAGTCCAGCAGGAGTTTTATAGATACAGACAGAAATAGGCAGACTCTAAAATGTATATGGAAAGACAAAAGAACTACAGAAGCCAAGAAAAAATTTTGTTTTAATTATTTTTAATGTTTATTTTTCAGAGAGAGAGAGAGACAGAGAGAGATCAAAATTGAGCAGGAGAGGGGTAGACAGAGGGAGACACAGAATCTGAAGTAGGTTCCAGGCTCTGAGCTGTCAGCACAAAGCCCAATGCCGGGGCTCAAACTCACGAACCATGAAATCAGGACCTGAGGTGAAGTTGGACACTTAACCAACAAGCCACCCAGGTGCTCCAAAGAGCCAAAAATTAAAAAAAAAAAAATAAGAACAACGTTGGAGGATTCAAGCTACCTGATTTCTTTTTTAAAGTAATCTCTATGCCCAGGGTGGGGCTCAAACTCATGATCCTAAGATCAAGAGTCACATGCTCTACCAACTGAGACAGCCAGGTTCCCCTTATATTACCTGACTTAAGAATTAAAACAGCGTGGTATTGGCAAAGGACAAACAGATCAATGGAACAAAGAATCCTAAAATATACCTACACATACACTATCAATTGGTTTTAACAAAGATGAAAAGACAATTTGATAAAGGATAGTTTTTTCAACAAATGGTGTTAGAATTGGACATCTATATGCAAAAAAATTAATCTATACATTCTACCTTCTATAAACCTAAGAGGGATCATATACCTAAGCATAAAACGTAAAACTATAAACCTTTAAGAAAAAAAAAGGAGGATAAATTTTTGTGACCTTACATTAGGCAGAGTTCTTATATGCTGAAAGTGTAACCTATAAAAGAACCTGTATACAAATGTTCAAAGCAGCTTTATTCATAATAGGCAAAAACTGGAAACAGCCCAGATTCTTCAATAAGTGAATGGGTTAAATGAACTCTGATACATATATAACCCAGAATACTATTTGGCAATAGAAAGAGGAACTATGATACATACACCAATTTATATCAATCTCTAGGGAATTTTGCTGAGTGAAAAATGCCCATCTATCTCAAAAGGTTACATGCTGTATAATTATAGAACATTTTTGAAATGATAAAATTTTAGAAATGGAGAAGAGTGATTATTTGCCAAGGTTGGAAAGAGAGGTGAGTGTCGTTATAAAAGGGCAAACATAAAAGATCCTTGTGGTGACAGAACTCTTGTGTCTTTACTATGGTGGTGAAATACACAATCTACACTACACACACACACACACACACACACACACACACACACACACAAAGTGTTCAAGTAAAGTAAAACTAGGGAAATCTGAACATGATGGATGCATTGTACCGAGGTCAACATCTTAGCTATACTATAGTTTTGCAAAGTGTTCAGCAATGGGGGAAACTAAAGTGTACAGAGGATCTAAGTTATTTCTTACAACTGCATATGAATCTACAATTATCTTGATAAAAACTTTAAAAAACAAAGAGGCATAACCTTTAGATTCAATATACATGTAGTAACTGCCAAAAATATCTGAGATAGAGTAAGAACAGTAAAGAAAGAAATAGAGATAAGAAGAGAGCACTGTGAAAAACTAGTTCGCCCAAAATACTACTCTGGTATTTTCTCATTTTCCCTCCACAACCTTCCACAATGCTTCCATCTCTAGCAATCATAGGAGGAGATTTCAAACAACTGGCAAATAAAAACTTAATTTATTCAATATGTATAATAAGACCAGTACAACATCAATTCTTAAGAAAAATTAAAGAGTTCTTCAAAAAGGTACAAATTTATTTAAATGAACATTCAGAAAAATGTCCCAAAGCAGAGGAGGAAAATAATGCAACTAAATATTCTCCCATTAATTAAAAGAAAAAGAGGAGGAAGCAATCAACTCTCTGAAGGAAGATCACAAGGAAAAGCAAGGACCCCAAAGATAGGATGGTAAGACAACAAAGATAAAAGCTATGCTCAGGAAAGAAAGATGAAGACAAAAAAATGGAAGAACAAACATGCAATGTTTGTTACAATGGAGAAACCTGGCAAATCTTAACCAAGTATGAATGTCAGTTATCACCAGTAATGTCATATACATATCATGTACACCTCCCTATATTTGACACTAAGAGGATATTCCACTTTTGTGGCATTCTTTCCAAAAACGAAAATCCCAGTCTAATCATGAGAAAAACAGGAGACAAACTCTAAACTGAAGGATGATCCACAAAATATCTGACAAGTATTCCTCACAACTATCAAGGTTGTGAAAAACAAGAAAGGAATAAACAGTTGTCATAGACCAAAGAACACTAAGGAAACATGACAACTAAATGCAACAATTTGATAAGGGAGCCAAGATGTCCACAAAGTTCCAAAATGGCTCATCACCTTTACCAATGCCATATTAAACCATGATTCCTAACCTTTTCATGACACACCCCACCTATACTTTCTCAAAGTATTATGTGCACTAATTTTTTTTTTTTCAAACTATTTGGGATAATTTTATAAAACCCATTGAGAGAAGAATGTACAGTACAAAATAACTCAAAACCACAGATTTAAAACAAAACATTCCTAGCAATAAAATAGGTCTAGCAGACAGGGAAAAAAAGCTGTATCAAGCTCTAGCACATGAGACCCCCCACTCTAAGTTCAGCCAGAATGCTGAAACTTCAATAACCAAACATGCCAAATCTGAAAAAAGCATGCAAGGGCACATTAACACTCTTACAAAGGGAATGAGCACTGACAATTACTAGTGTCTCCTCTGTCCCTGGCCTTTTCCAAATGAAGTAGTTCATACACAAAATAACTCTAAGGTAGTAGTATCACTACCAATTTACAGACGAGGAAACAAAGATTCAAGTAAGTTATTTTACCAAAACCACAGAGTTGGTACATGGTCAAATGACGAATTTATTACTAACAAAGTGTCACACAAAAGATCAACTGTAATTCTTCAAAGAAAAAATATGACTACCATTAATACAAGAAAAAGGCAGCTACCAAGTTTGAACTCAATCAGTGGAAAAATAACTTGTTTCTGAGATACAAGGAAAAAATTAGTTTTCCATTATTTCGATTAGTTTCAGAAAAGAATGAGTGGCATTCATAATCCTCAAAATAACTTCCATTTCATATAAACACCTTCCATTTATATGAAGTAAAACACTCATATGCTAAATACATTATTTCCCATACATAAGGATAAAGGATAACACAAGGATATTATTTTTGTCTCTCCACCAAGATTTATTAGATATGCCGCCAAGGAATTTACAGCTGGCAGGTATCTGTGAAATCTGCCCTTATAGACAAAGCTCAAAAATTCTGGTTTGCTAATTTTGTAGTGGATATGAGAATAAAATGGAATCTGAACTCTAAGGAAGGTCCACAGGCTTCAGGGTAAAAAATATTAAACATCACAGCCCATGTTATAATCAAGATGTTGATAAAGAGATGTAAGCATTGAACCAAGCCAACTACTTTTTCTCCTCCTCTGCAAAATAATTACAAATAAAGTTGTATCCCTAAAGATTATTTACATCTCCTTAAAGATGATTCTAGGTTCACTAAATATTTATGCATTTCCTGGAGTAAACTTAACTTCAGTGTTTTTTTGTAAAGTCTGACACTTTTCAGTTCAATTTTGGTAACTTGAGTTCATAAGTTCAAGTCTTGAATCGGGCTCTCTGGTGTCAGCACAAAGCCTGCTTGGGATCCTCTGTCCCTCTTCCGCTTGCGTGTGAGCTCTCTCAATGAACACTGGGGCACCTGGGTGGCTCAGTCAGTTAAGCGTGGCTCAGATCATGACCTCACGTTTCGTGAGTCTGAGTCCCAACGTCAGGCTCTGTGCTGACAGTTTGGAGCCTGGAGCCTGCGTTGGATTCTGTGTCTTCCTATCTCTTTGCCCCTCCCCCACTCTCCCTCCCTCTCTCTCTCTCTCTCTCTCTCACACACACACACACACACACTCTCTCTCTCTCTCTCTCTCTCTCAAAAATAAACATTAAAAAATGAACATTTTAAAATACATAAATAAATAATAAAAGTTTTGAGGCGCCTGAGTGGCTCAGTCAACTGAGCGTCCAACTCTTGATCCCAGGATCATCGGATGGAGCCCTTTGTCAGGCTCTGCAGGGAGTGTGGAGCCTGCTTAAAAGTCTCCCCCTCTCCCCACCCCTCCCCCCTCCCTTGTGTGCAAGCTTTTTTTCTAAATAAATGTTTTAGCAGTCTGTTACTTAAACCTGTATAGAACTAAATTATTTAAATGCAAAACAAAGGAATTCAGTCTGCCATTAGTATCCCAACTAAAGACTTCCTGTTAACAGTAGAATTCCTTCCTTTGGCACATGGATTGGGTGCCTGACCAGTACATTGGCCAAAACATTAAAGGTCAAATTTCGCAGCTAAACAGAGAACTTGCTAGGCCCTAAACCTCTTTGAGACCTTATACAATCTGTTTTTGGCTTCTGCCAAATACAGTAACATAAAGTTAACCCTTGAGATAAGGTGTTTCCTGAAAGTCTAAGTAATTGGCAGGATATACTACTTTCATTAAGTCATTACAAAACTATTTTCTTCCACATCTTTTTAATGTTTACTACATTAGAAAAACAATCAAAATTTAAAGTTGTGGAAATAAATCTGTCTATAGCACATCTTTATCCTCCCACAAACTTTCTCCTTTCCATTCATTCACATTCCTTGAACTCTTGTCAGCATAAATCATGAAAATATAATGAAGTTTCAAGTCTTTTCAGGATAAATTCAAGAAACTTCCAGCTACTTTTTCCTATTCAGAGTATTTTTCTTTCTGGAAAACACAGCTGTTAGGCTTTTCTGCTCGGTTAATAATTGATTATTAATCCTTCCCTGACACTTACTCCTTCAACGAACTGGTTTTTTTCCTAAAAGGTAAAGCATTAAATCTTATTGCCCTGATAGAAACTGTTATTAAGTGAAATTTCTCAAGTATATGATCACTGCTCTAATAAACACAAATCTTTTTTTAAAATGACATTCTTGTGGCACCTGGGTGGCTCAGTCAGTTGAGCATCCAACTTTGGCTCAGGTCACAATCTCATGGTTCATGGGTTCGAGCCCCACATTGGGCTCAGTGCTGACAGCTCAGAGCCTGGAGCCTGCTTTGGATTCTGTGTCTCCCTCTCTTTCTGCCCCTCCCTGCTCATGCTCTCTCTCTCAAAAACAGATAAACACCAAAAAAAATTTTTTTTCATGACATTCTTGGGGCGCCTAGGTGGCTCGGTGGTTAAGCATCCAACTTCAGCCTAGGTCATGATCTTGCTGTTCCCGAGTTCAAGCCCCATATCAGGCTCTGTGCTGACAGCTCAGAGCCTGGAGTCTGTTTCAGATTCTGTGTCTCCTCTCTCTCTCTGCTGCTCCTCCATTCAGGCTCTGTCTCCCTCTCAAAAATAAACATTAAAAAAAATTTTTTTTAATGACATTTTTGGGGCACCTGGGTGTGGCTCAGTCAGTTAAGTGTCCAACTTCAGGTCATGATCTCAGGGTTCATGGGTTTGGGCCCCCCATGGGGCTCTGTGCTGACAGCTCAAGGCCTGGAGCCTGCTTCAGATTCTGTGTCTCCCTCTCCCTCTGCCCCTCCACTATTTGCACTGTCTCTAGCTCTCAAAAATGAGTAAATGTTAAAAAAAAATTTTTGTTGTTGTTTAAATGACATGCTTTAGAGGCACCTAGGTGGTTCAGTTGGTTAAGCGTCAGACTTTTGGTTTTGGCTCAGATCATAATCTTGAGGTTTTCTGAGTTCAAGCCCAGAATTGGGCTCTGCACTGACAGTGTGTAGCCTGCTTGGGATTCTCTCTCTCCTCTCTCTCAAAATAAATAAATAAACTTTAAAAAAAGTTTAAACTTGGGGCGCCTGGGTGGCGCAGTCGGTTAAGCGTCCGACTTCAGCCAGGTCACGATCTCGCGGTCCGTGAGTTCGAGCCCCGCGTCGGGCTCTGGGCTGATGACTCGGAGCCTGGAGCCTGTTTCCAATTCTGTGTCTCCCTCTCTCTCTCTGCCCCTCCCCCGTTCATGCTCTGTCTCTCTGTCCCAAAAGTAAATAAACGTTGAAAAAAAAAAAAAATTTAAAAAAAAAAAAAAAAAAAAGTTTAAACTTACCAAAACTATGCCAGACTGCCACTAAGAGAGGATTAGTAGAAATTCAGTTCTTGCAGTATTTCCTCAATGATATTTTGTGAATCAAAATTTTAAAACAGTATTTTAACTTGGCATTATTAATTCTAAATACTTATATTTAGACAGAAAAGTGTTAGGAATTTTATTAGTGATGTCTCCAATACACATAAATATAAGAAAAATGAGTGTGAAGTATTTATGGTAAATAGATTCTTTTAAGCTATTATTCCTGCTACCCCTCAGCTAACCAAAACTGTCTTAAGACTCCAGATGTGAAATCTCTGGACTCATTCATTTAGTCAAGCATTTGTAGTTGCAGCACCTCCTATGCAGCCAAGTGCTATGCTAATCCTATCTGACTTTTCTCTTTCCCTCATCTCTCATATCCCATTTGTGGCCAAGTCCCATCAATGCAGATGTATCCCACTTCTTCCCTTCCCAAATGCTTGCAGCTGAGGTCAGGTCCTCATTAACATTTAAAATAATAATCTCCAAACGTGCACCAAATGGAAGATTATGGATGATTGTGGAGTCACCAAAACTACTCATAAATAGTGTATAATGTTAAGAAACTCATTCAAGTAGGGGGGCCTGCCATGACTCAGTCCGTTATGCTGACAGCTCAGAGCCAGAAGCCTGCTTCAGATGCTGTCTCCCTCTCTCTACCCTGCTAATGTCTCTGTCTCTCAAAAGTCAACAAACGTTAAAAAAAAAAAAACCTTTTTTAAAGAAAAAAAATAAAAGAAACTCATTCAAGTAAAAAGCAGGGGTATGAAACTATACAGAGTACAATCACAACAATATGAAAAAAAAAGAATTCCATAAAAAAAAAAGATGAAGGAAATTAACTGAAACACTATGAATCTCCGGCCTGATGAGTACTTTCCCTTTACTTTTCCACTTCTTGCAAATTTTCTACAGTAAGCAGCTATTAACTCTAAAAAAAAAATGAGTTTTTTTAAAAAGCTTACTATTTTGGTTGGATAACAAATTATTCCTGAGATTTAAAATTACTCAACATTAGAAATATCCAAAATAAACACCAAAGCATGCAACTGTCTAATCCTTTGACCTAGATGCTCTTTAAAAACAAAAAGGCACAGGGGCGCCTTGCTGGCTCAGTCAGTGGAGCATGCGACTCAGTCTCAGGCTTGTGAGTTCAAGCACCGTGTTGAGAGTAGAGATTACTTAAAAAAAAAAAAATCTTAAAATCAAAAAGGCACTCAACCATGTTAATTTCTACATGCTAATGTAACATGCTACATGTTAATTTCTAATTTCTAATTTCGATGTCCCAATGAGATTCCAAAGTCAGCTTTCACAAAATAAGCTCCTTTTACCAACTATTCTCCATTATTCCTCAATTTTCAAAACTTCAGTGATTTACTTTCTCCTAAAACCATAATTCTCAATTTTTCCTTCAAAAGCATCACAGGTTTGCCCTTTTCTCTCCCATACCACTGGTACCTGCAGTTATCTTTTCTCTAGCCATCTATCTTGAGTACAACTAGTAATATTTACACACTGCTCTTATAAAATGACTTGTTTTTTGGGGGTGTCTGGGGGCTCAGTCAGTTAAGTATCTGATTCTGGCTCACGTCATGATCTCATAGTTCATGGTTTTGAGCTCTACATCGGGCTCTCTGATGACAGCTCAGAGCCTGGAGCCTGCTTCAGATTCTGTGTCTCCATCTCTCTGCCCCTCTTCTGCTCAACTCTCTCTCTCTCTCTCAAAAATAAACATTAAAAACATGTTTTTGAATGACTTGTCTTTTTGAAATCTTCGATGGCTTCTATTTGACTCATGTTTAAATCCTTTAGCCTGTTGTTGAACCACAAATCTGCATTCCGCCTCACATCTTTCTTTAAACTAGAACTACACAGTTCTTTGGATTTACGTCTACTCTGTTTTCACCAGGTTATTCCTAATTTTCCACCTCAAATGACCTTCCTCTGCCCCTGTCTGAAGTCCAAGCTCAAAGTGCAGTTCAAGTCCTACCTCTTCCACGAATCATTCTTTAAGTATCCCAGCCTGGGGTGCATAGGTGACTCAGTTGGTTAAGCGTCTGCCTTTGGCTCAGGTCACAATCTCACAGGTTCTTGAGTTCAAGCCCCACATTGGGCTCTCTGCTGTCCCTGCAGAGCTGGCTTCAGATGCTCTGTTCCCCACTCTCTCTGCTCCTCCCCCGCTCATGCACAGGCATATGAACTCTCCCTCTCAAAAAAAAAAAAAAAGTATTCCAGCCTACCCTGACCCCTCTTCTGACTCCCCTATTGTACTTAGTACTGCAAAGTCTAACAACCGTTCTGTGATTATTGTGCATATGTTGGTTTTGTTTCCCAAGTAAGATACCACAGGGCACAGAGGGCAGATACCAAGAAGGTCAAAGAAAACAAATAAATGATTAATACTAAATGTATAAAATGTTTTCTACACTCATGCTCCAAACTATTTCTAAGTCACCTTGTTTGAAGTTCCCGGAGTTAAAAAGTAAATGTGTCGTGTATTTATTTTTATACTGTCAAGATTTAAAGCCTACACCTTATCAGGAAAAAAACAATCAGATAAAAGTTTAATTTTCAGCTCTTGCTTCAGTTTATCTGGTGTAATCCAGTACTTTAGGAATAAAGTAGAATTGTGCATTTCTATGTCTTCTGCCCCTTGTACAAATATCCCCAAGTTAACAAACATGGAAAGCAGATTGAAAAAAAATTATATGGCTAATATGTTTGTTCATTCCAAAAAGATCAACAAAACACAGGCTTAACACCCAACCATTTGACAGAAGTTTTTCTGACCAACCTGGGAAATAATTATTGAACTATGAAAGCAGTTTTGTTAAGAGAAACAATGTAGGTTCTATCCCTTACCATGCCCAATTCTTCCTATCCACCTTTCTTTTCTCAAGTTTAAGTCCGCGTCCACTTTCTTTGAAACTCTAACATTCCCATTCTACCAAATTATTAACAAAACTGGCAAAATGGGAAAGTATTTTTCTGGGAATGTCTGTTGGCTTCCCAAAACAATCCAGAAAAGAGCATCTTTTTAATTATTAATAAATCTAATGTAGGATTTGTAATTTTAAGTTACCTGAGGCATGCCTCCCCTGATTCTGTGGCATTCTTTGGAAGAGATCGTGGTTGTATTCATAATATCTATAGTCTTCATGTGCACGATCTCCAAGCGGGCGCCTTCTCTGACCATCAAAATAATTATCTGAATAATAATATCGGGAACCAGAGTCTCCATTTTCAACAGCAAAATTAACTTCTGTTAAAAATGACTGAGAAGATCCATACTCCCTAGGGACATCTGCTAGACTCCTGGCAAGATAAGAAGGTGCAGATAATCTGTTGCTTTCTCTTCTCATTATTTCATGAGGTGTTCTTTGAATTGGAGTTCTAAGAAAACTCTGGTTTCTTGAAACTATTCCATCACCAGAAGCTGAAAAGGCATTTGGGCTTGATTCTGGCAAACAGATATCAGTTCGTCTTGGAATTGTTGGACCGTGTCGAATAAATGAAGGCATGAGATCTACAATAAAACAAAGAGTAAAATGACCACTTCATTAAGGAATTAAATACACTTTTCAAAAGCTGTTCATTTACACCTATTACCCCAAAATGCAAAATTTCAATGGACTCAAGCACACATTTAAAATTCTGACTTAAGATAGTACTTGGGTATTTAAAAATTAATGCTAATTAATATTTTCCCACTCAAATGAACTTATAATTTATATCAACGGGGTATGTGTAAACTTAGAATCAAATGTATTCTGCATACCACCACACAAAACAAGATGAAATGTCAGTAAGCTTAATTATGGTTAATGAAATACTCATTAATAAATGTGTAAAAATTGGGGCGTCTGGGTGGCTCACTCGGTTGGGCGGCTGACTTTGGCTCAGGTCATGATCTCACAGTCCATTAGTCTGTGAGTTCGAGCCCTGAGTCAGTCTCTGTGCTGACAGCTCAGAGCCTGGAGCTTGCCTTGAGTTGTGTGTCTCCTTCTCTCTCTGCACATCCTCCACTTGCACTCTGTCTCTCTCTCTCTCAAAAATAAATAAACATTAAAAAAAATTTAATAAATGTGTAAAAATAGGAAACAATCTAACAAACAGATAAAATTACCAGTATAATTTAAGATTTTTTTTGTTGTTGATTTCAGTTCATTTTCAAAATTCCCAAAAATCCTTTTTCAAGCAAACACAATTTCAAGAATAAAACAAAACATATGCCATTCCCAAACATGTAAAGGTAAATTCCTTTAAAAAGAAAAAAAAAAAAACTTTAACCTGGTTTCCTTTTGGATTACGTGGCACTAGTACATTAGTACACTAATCAAAAGCTGGAGAGCCAAGAAGTTAGCTATGAAAATTAAAAAATAAAAAGATCTCATTTCAAAGAGGCACAAAAATGTTGAATCAGTTCAAAAATGCCAAGCCTCAAACTATGGCTCCCTTAAGAACAAGTAATTATAATTCAAAACAAAAGATAACAGAACAATGGCCTTCAGGATATAGTACTTCTGAATACAGAACTTACATGGCTTAGACACGCCAGGTTAGAAAGCAAATAACTTTATAACAAAAAGAAAACTAGATTTGGAAACTTTTATTAGCTAAGTAAACAATTAAATTAGAGAGCGCTAATATTAAGCTTTAGAAGCTAACTCTAGAAAATCAATATTCAAATAAGCAAGCTCAAAATTCGATGAAATTAAAAAATACTACATCATTATTTGCTTTAAAGTATGGCAAACGTGGGGCACCTGGGTGGCTCAGTCGGTTAAGCGTCTGACTTCAGCTCAGGTCATGATCTCACGGTCCATGAGTTCGAGCCCCGCGTCAGGCTCTGTGCTGACAGCTCAGAGCCTGTTTCAGATTCTGTGTCTCCCTCTATCTCTGACCCTCCCCCATTCATGCTCTGTCTCTAAAATAAATAAATGTTAAAAAAAAAAAAGTATGACAAACGTATTTCATGATTTCAAGTAATGTTTAATAAAGTTTATTTGCAGCAAACTGCAACCTATCATAAATTTAACCAAAAACCTAAAAGCATATGTAACTGAAAAATAAACTGCTAAAAAAAGGTTTAAAAATCAACTTTCATGGGCACCGAGCTGGCTCAGCAGGAAGAGCAAGCAGCTCTTGATTTGTGGGGTCATGATTTCCAGACCCACATTGGGTGTACAAATTAAATAAACTTAAAAAATAAATAAATAAAAATCAATTTTCAGGTTACTGATGCATCCATCTAATCTATTTTGATGTTCTACCAAGAAAGAACTGCAAATACAAGAATAAATTTCCAAAGCAGATGATGTGGTTATTATTTTTTAAAAAACATGCTCCATGCCTGGTGGCTCAGTTGGTTAAGCGTCCTGTCTTGACTTCGGCTCAGATTATGATCTTACAGTTATGTGAGTTCGAGCCTGACATCAGGCTCTGTGCTGTCAGCACGGAGTCTGCTTGGGATTCTTTCTTTCTTTCTTTCTTTCTTTCTTTCTTT